CTGAGCAGAATAACCATGAAATTCCCACTGAATTTCAGCAGCCAAGAAGTTCTTTTGATTCAATACAAAGCGCTGGTGATTTTACAAAAAATGGAAAAAAACAAGTTGAAATGTTTTGAACATAAAAAAAGAAAAATTTGTAGATCAAAATGAGGGTATTGGCTTGTTGTCTATTTTCTATTTCACAACTCTGGTGGTTAAATAAAATGTAATCGAAAGTCAATTTGGTAAACTTCATACTCCAAATCGATAAACTGCTTCAATGCCAATTATTCAATGACCAAAACTAATGAAAACCACACATTTTTTTCACTCAATTAAAGTTTTAACATATATCCGAATCAGGTGAAAACTAAAGAGCCGATAAATCAACAAAATCGTTTAGTTGGACAAATGGAAGGTTTGAATCGAAATTTTGATTCCATAAAATGATAAAAATAACGACAACTAGTTCCTGAGATCGGAGTCGAACAAAATCAACTCAAAATTGAAAATCCTCCAAACATTTGCTGCTACTGTTAACCACTCGAATAAAAATAACTAAATTCTGATCAATGTAAAAAGTGTTTCTATAAAAGCAATTAGTCGTTGAATGAAGAAATCGAAAGTGGCCCACTTTTATCGAGAAATTCAATGCTTTTAGGATAATTTACGTAGTGTAAAGGTAGAGAGAGGTCGAATGGTCCTAAATAAATATAAAAAGCACTCAAGAACGGATATCTTTTGAACGTATCCGTCGTCATTTCGAAAGCATTACAAAATGCTTTGCTGTTATTATTTCGAATTCTATTGTTTGAAATTTCGTTTCGCATCCGGTTACTTGTCGATAATTGTTTTGCAGAAGTTGTAAGTTGTTCCTTTCTGCCTCTTACCGCCACTTACTTCAAGTGGAGTATTTATACAGTGACCTTCACTCCGGCAAACGGTGGAAATAATTAAGAAAAAGAAATGGGGCAATATCTTGTTGCGCACAGATATTACAATTGAGTGTAGCAACCGTGATTGTTGAATGAAATTACGGTGCCTTGTTCCCAGTGAAAATGCTGCATCGTGAAGATAAGCAAAACTACATTTTAGTATTCATACGCAAAAATCATCCAATTATGAAACAATTTGCATTCCCTGGTTTTGGATCGCGTGCGACTCGCAATGCAACAGATATTTAATCGAATTTTATACGGTTTTTTTTTGTCATGCTTTCTCCATATATCTCCATTCTTGTCATTCTTTTTTTTGTCTGACGATTTTCACATAAAAATTCATCATCTCTCGGAGACATTGTAAAAAATATCTTGTTGTATGCATCACTGCATCACTGGTAATGTGTGTGCTTCACATTCATGAAAACGTATTCATATAATGAAATTTCTGTTTAACTTACAGTTTGTAATGATATCAGACGCTCGTACATTGCATACTGATGTAAACAATTTGTTTTGTATGTATATTTCAACAGAAAAACTATCATTTTCAACATTTTGCAGAAAAAAAATCATTGGAGTTTTTGTAACTCAAATTTTCAAAACAGCAAACATGTGGTGAAAAAAGACACACAACGATCTTCCTAACTTCTCTGCCATATTATGTATATAATTGAAGAGATATTCTCTCGATGAAAAACGTTTCATTTTAGCAATCCATTTTTACTATCATACATGACGAAGTTCTTAAGGCATTGAAAAGCTTATTAAAATCTTTACAAAAGCAACGCATCGCTTTAATAGGAAGATTAGTCTAACCAGTGAAGGGAAGAATATCAACGCACACACAGCTCTTTCGTTTGAAAATAAAATCGATTTAAAATGCATCTTATATTAGATATGCAACATTCTTGCAAGTCTTTGTAAATAAAACCGTTTGATGAACCGTCTCTTGCACGCATACTCTCTCTCTCTATTTTTTCTACCGAGCAAAAGTTCAAGTTTTCACCTCTATCTCTTCGCTCTCTGATTTTCACACAAAGAACAAATAAGCAAATATTAAACACAAGAAATACATATACGCACTGCAACTGACGTACCAGCAACAGCCAGAGTAAAATTGATGAGATTGCAAAATCCAAAGAAAACGTAAGCTCCAAGCGAATACAATTCATGAGACTGTACAATTCATCTTGAGACAACATTAATGAGCATCAACAGCAAAGAAAATTAAATCAAAACGAAAATGAAAAGCCGGGTATCGAACGACCTTTTTCATTGCAGGAATCTGCATTAAATGAAAATCTTTATCTGGCTAAATTGGTTGAAATGCAACCGAGAAGAAAATTCCATTTATTCAACATGAAAAGAATTCCCAAACAAATTGATGCAAAAGAAAAACCATGAATACCATTTGATTCCAACGTTGATTTCCCTTAATTGAGTTTGTAATGCAATTGGAGACGTTTCCACAGAAAAAAATTATACCATTTTTTTCTCTCCTTTCAATGTGTGAAAAATCAATCCGCCAGATTCCAGCATAATTGAATTATGACTTTCAATGCAATTCATGGCGAAGGAAATGAAACTCATTTCATAGCTGTTCTGGTCATATAAATACACCACCATCTGATTGAAACCTGACATCAATCGAATTAATTAAAACAAAAAAAAAATTATCTGGGAAAATTATAAAAATGCAATTTGTTCAATAATAATTCAATAATAAACCGATGAATATATATATCTGCGTCAAAGCTATCGAGCATTTTGATGGAATATTGCTGCAAAAATGTTATGTAGCGTCTGTCGTTATTTGCGTCGATACGCTTTGGTGAGCAAAGCGACACTGATAAGACTTCGTAAATCTGGCATTCGAAATCCGAATTCTTATCATTCCACGAATTGGTGCGCGAGCGGGGCGAATGACGACTGGAATGTGAAGCTTTTGAGGAGAAATGGCAATTTTTTCGTTCACACGCGCAATAGATATCGTGCCTAGAGGTAAGAGTGAAACGAACACATTCCTCCAATTTTCCATGAAATTGAATGGAAAAAGCTTGTCGCGGGCTGCAACAAGTCTTTGGCCACCACCTCGCTACTAAATGCACACACTCTAACAGGTCTTGATTCATCTATTTTGCTTCATTGTTGTACAAACCTCTAAATCTATAGCATAAAATACAATTTGAAAATTTCCATTTGTCGATAGAATGAAACACGCAACGCGCTGTTTTGGTGTTTTAATTTAATCATTTTTATTACTATATAGTTTCGGTCTGTTGCTCTTAATTTTTCACTTATTTCGACACGTTTTCTCCACAATTTATACACTTAGATTATTTTAAATAATTTAAATCATACAAAATTCATTTCTATTTTTCGCTTATTTACTCAGTTTGCTTCTTAAAAATGATGGAAAAATGTTGGTTTACTGCATTACTTCAAGTAATTTTCATTGGTTCCGATAAATTTAGATATTTTATTTAATTTTCGTTTCGTTTGAATTTTGCATTTGTGAGAAAGAGTACAAGATCGCTGGAATGGATGGTGTCGAATTTTCGTATTTATCAAATTTTTCAATTTAAATTTACACACTTAAAATTGCAAAAAAGGTACTGAGCTGGAGTGTTGTTGTTGTTATTACAATTATTATTATTTCTCGTCATGCAAATGGAGAAAATGCAAAACATCCACATTTAAGTCTTAATTCAAGTTTACATAAATTAGGCGGCATGCAAGTTTTCTACAATTTTTTTTCTTTAAATAAAAACGATATAAACATCAAATGAAAAACTACTCTGCTGCATGAAAGGTAACTTATAAAAACATGGGTGGATAATGCGCCTAATATTTTAATCCTGAAAATGTATTCTTCAAATGCGTGTGTGATTCATTGTTTACAATTCACTATGTGTGTCACCTTCGGTGTCTTTTTTCTCAGGTGCCGGAGCGTCTTGTTCCTCTTTGACCGTTTCTGGTTCATCAACAGTCTCTTCAGTTTTTGTTGTTTCATTTTCTGTTGTTGTATCGTTCGAACTTGATGATTTTTTCGACTTCTTCGGCGTGTCTTTGACTTTTGGTTTCCAGATTTTCAATTTATTGATCAAATATTTTACTTCACGATCCAATAACATCATACGATCGGTAATTGATTTGACGGTCATTTGCACAGTATCCGATCTCTTCAATTTATTTTGTGCATCTTGTTGTGACGTCAACCATTCTTCGGCATCGGTGATTGCCTTTTCGAGCGTATCGATTTCAACCTGAGTGAAAATGTCTTTGTCAGCATTCGATTCTTTTGTCATATTCTTGGCATTTGTTAGGAAAGTCTTGGCGCTTGTTATCATCTTATTGAATGTGTCAACGGCATCTGGTCGTTCTCTATGTTCCCAGTGACGTGCATAGATTGGATTCGATTTTTCTTGTAATTCGGCCAATTTCTTTTCGTATGTCTCAGCATCAGCGCCTTCGCCATCTTCATAAATCCAGTCTGACACTTCAGCGCATGCTTTGCGAACGGTTTCAATTTCCTTTTCTGTCGCACAGCTTGCATATTCGTCTTCATCGAGTCGTTGATTAGCTTCGATGACAAAACTTTCCAACGCATTCAATGCGCCTTCGCGTCGTACAATTTGCCGTTCCAATTCATTGAGATCGTCAACTTTTTTACGTGCCTCTTCGAATTTATCGCCCAGCAACTGAACTCCGTACAAAGTATCAACAACATGTGGAATTGGTTCTTTGATATTAACAATTTTTGAGGTTGCTTTCTTTTCGGTGGCGCTTGGTGTTGCTGATTCTGTTTCATTTGTTGCTGTTTTATTAGCAGTTGCTTCACCTTCGCTGGTTTTTTTCTCATCTTCGGTGGTCTTTTCACTTTCTTCGGTTGGTTTTTCTTCCGTGTCTTTCTTTTCTTCGTCACCACTGCTAAACAATTTCGTAATGGTACTACCGAGTTTAGCGAATGAGCTCTCTTCGTCTTGTTCGGTGACATTTTTGTCGGCAACGAATTCAATGCCGGACAATGAGAATAAACCACAATCATCCATAATAAAATGTGCTTTAATTCCTTTTGGTTCAACATTTTCACCGGTATTGGCTGCAATCACTTTGGCAACATCATTCAATTTGATTTTCAACAAATTTACTGAACCAATGTACTGGATTTCGTTGCTTGGCAAATGATCGAATTCAGCGTAGCTAACATCAAACTCAAAGTCTTCGGTATTTTTGTTAAATGTAATGACTTTCTTTTGTGGATATGAACCGAAAGCGGTGAATAGGCTACGTTTCACCAATTTTGTATTGCCACTGTTACCTTCACGTTCAAAGGTCACTTGAATTGGGAATAGTACGGCTTCTTTAACGATGAATTTCGATACACGGAAACCGGTTGCAAGATCTGCTGCTTTGTAAACAGCGCCCAATGCGGCAGCCTCATCAGAATTAATATTCTTGCCCAATTCAGCATTTACATATGTTTTGAGTGCTTCTTGCACCTTTGGTACACCTGTTGAATAAATTTACAAAATAAAACATTCGGTTTTCAGTCGATTAAATATTGCAAAATTTCTTGGTTTTGTTTACTCACGTGAACTGCCACCAAATAGAGTCACTTGATTGATTACGCTTAAATTGAGATTTGAATTTTTCAATGCTTGTTCCAACGGGCTAATGACACGGTCGAATAGATCTTTACATAATTCTTCAAACTTCTCACGAGTGACTTGCATACGGAAATCCTGTTCATCCAATAATCCCTCGATTTGTGCAAAATGATCGGAGTTTGCCGAAAGAACGTTCTTAACACGTCCGGCTTCTTTGAATAATTTGGCTAGGGCACGTGGACTGGTGAAAACATCGGTTTTTGTCTTCTTCATTTTATTAAATTCTTTGCCCAAATGGTCGCGAAGACGCAGCTGCATTTCCAAACCGCCCAAAGTACGATCATAACCAACGCCAAGAACTTGAACCACCGGATTTGTTTCACGTGTCACTTTATCCTTAACCAATTGATAGCTGACGACGGCGGCTGTTGTATGATAGGCTCCCATGTCGTAGAAAACGAAATATTTAGCATTATCGGTGATTTCTTTGCGTGAAAAAATGCCATAGTTCAAGGCAACGGCGGTATAATCGTTGATAAGTTGAAGTACTTTGAGATTGGCAAGATTGGCAGCAGTTAAAAGTGCAGTTCTTTCAGCTTGCCCAAAGAAACCAGGAATTGTGATTGTACATTCTGTTATCGGTTGACCTATATTCAACAGAAAGCGGTATTACAACACATTAACAACACACGCATGCGATTGCTTCAAAACAACAAACCTGTCGAACTCTCGGCAAAATCGCGTGCTTTTTGCAAAATTTGAGCAATCAATTCCTCAACGCTGTACTTAGTGTCGTCGTCAATTTTGAAAACGACTGTATTTCGTTCTGGATCAGCTTCGATGTCATAATATGGAAAACGTTTTTGATACAATTTAACGATTGGATTGTCAACCGTTTTACCCAATAAATCTAACAAATAATGGAAACTGTTCTTTGGGAAACGGAGACCAACCGTTGCAGCATCTTCTCCGAAAAGGCGTTGTCCATCTCGGAATGCAATAATGACCGGTGTTTTCCGTTTTGATTCTTTATTGAGCGCAATTTCCATGGGAACTCCAGCCGAAACAATACCAACCTATTGATTTAGTTCACATAATTTAATTGCAATGGACACTTTTTGAAGGCGATAAAATTAAAACTTACTTTCATCCATTCACTACCCAAATCGACAGACATCACAGCCGCTCCAAATGCATATTGTACACTACCTATTAAAGCAAATGTGCTCAATATAAGCGCAACCACTAGACGTTGCTTCATATTGTGAATTTTTTTCTATTGCTAAAATGTGAACAATGACAAGAAAAATAAAATAAATCACAATTATTTGAAATGAAAATGAAATTTTCAATAAAAATCAATTGAGGTTAGAGACCTCGTCGCAACAACGGAGAAAGTAATTTTTTTTTCATTGGTTCAAAGAATATTCGCGAATGAAACTCACCTGAATTTATTAAAAATTAAAACTATTTTGATGAGAAACCGAATTTCTTGAATTAAAAGTAATTCAAGTGACGGTCAGAATGAATTTGGAAACAGTACTGCGTGTTCCACACGACGTTTACTTAAAACTATTTACTTTTCTAACTTTTTTTTTATGTGGGACAATATTTTGTCTGACGTGTACGGTTCAGTAAAACAAAGATGACTATTTATAAGACTGTCATGCCGCAGTACGATATGTTTTGCACTGTTTATCGGTCTCTTTCTACGCCGATTTTGACAAGTATTTTAATGTTATTGGACCACGTATGAAATGTACACTTACTGCTCTGGCAGCGGTGTTACCCGATACATATTCGAACAGCAGATAGAATTGTGCGCACCATTTGAATATTTATTTCGAATATGAATTTTCGGAGAAATTTGAATCTATTTGGGATTTTATGTGCAATTTTTTGAAATTCATTAATGAAATTTGTTGATTGATGAATCGAGATGCAAATGATTTATTTGTATTGGTCTTTCTGATTTTAAACTTGGTATATATTCATCAAGCTTTCTTCTCGATGGAGACGCCATGTTCTATCACAATTTTTTCTAATCTATTTGAAGAGAGAAAAAAAAATCGTGTAAGAATTTTTAAATTGTGCACATTATATTGGTAGTAAAAACACCAAATCTCAGCTATTTTTGTAGTTTGTTGCTAGTTTTTAATTCTATTTCTTTTATATTAAATCAAACATAAGTTAAAATAACAAAAATTTTGAAGACAAAGCAAAACGACAAAATCAATCGATTTATCGATGTCGCATATAGTAGTCAATGGCTGTAGAGAATGCCGCAAATCCAGCTGCCCCAAGGATACCAGCCTTAACTCCTGCTCTCAATCCAATAAGTCCACCTGTCACACCACCGGCATATGTTCCATTTCGCCAATCCGATTTGCCTCGGCTCTGAAATCAAATTAATTGAACAATCAGACAATTCCTCTTAAATACTTTGAAATAGTATTATGGATAAATGAAAAATCACAAACTACCGTTTCAATTGTACATTCTACAGCTGAAAACACCATGCCAATCAAAGCAAAATTTTTGGCATAACTATGTGTAGTTGATCGCATTTCTCTGAAAACCTCACGAGCAGTTTGCTGTTTTTCAACACCTGGCACGGACACATTTGGATTCACCGATGAACTAAACAAACCAATTGCAGCTCCCAAACCGTATCCTACAATTAAAATCGAATTTATCTGTTATCATTCAATATTGTCTTTGTAGTTCCCAGTTTGTTTTTACCAAGAACACAGGCCATGAACGATTTGAAGAAGCAGCTTTCTACTGCCGACTCAATCATTTTCTCTTCATTTGTTTTGATTTTTGGCGGTCCCAAATTATTTGGTATCACAATATTTTCTCTGTATCTAAAATGATAGAAACAATGTTAATCAATTGTACACATTTGAGGTTAGGGTTTTTCTCTTCAACATCATTTAAATTCATGTTAACAAACACAAACACTTAATACCTGTAATTATTGCCAACAAAGTGTTTGGCCATTTGTTCCATTGCATCATTTTCAAAAAATATATTCCGTTTGATTTCGTCGTTCGACTCCTTCGGAGCTGGGGGCTTCGGTAACAAAACCATCGTTGTTTTTCTGTTTTCACTACATTCACTGTGACATTTAGTTTGACACGGACTGTGCCAAAAATGTCAACATCCAATAAACCTTGAAATGCGACTGGAATCATTGGAAAGTGGAAAAACCTTATATCGAGGCAAACGTGACGAAACCGTTCAACGTTCAGCGTGCATTTAGAATTTAAATATTTGAGATTTCAGTTGCAAGACCATTCATAATTTGTAAGTAAAATTTTGATTTCTGTTTGTCAATCTTTGTAACAAGTGTCTTCGCATTATTCTTTCTAAATGTATTTTCAAATGGTGTACTCTTGAAATAACCATCTGTCTATGGCGATTTCTGTGTGCAAAAATATTGCTTGATTTTTACGAACAAAATAAGCCGGTTATAGTGAAGTTTGCATTGCAGTTTGTTGATTTGAAAATTTGTATGAAATCCAATCAACTTTAATCAACTTAGCGTGCTGTAGTCGAATTGAATCATTTATACTTGACTGTCTGTAAGCCATTTTTTTGCATACAAATTTCTGTTTATTTTCGAAGAGTAGGTGTTGGAAGAGACATGCTTTAATCAACGCATATGTGTGAAACCATTCCCGGAAAGCATATTTCATTGATCTTTGAAGCTCCATAGCTCAAGCGAGGATTATAGGGAGGCGTATGTAATTCATTATTCGTATCTGCGACAGGGTACAACTGTCAAAAGACACGTCTGATGATTTATCAATAAGGTGTATTTCCATTAATGAGATAATTTCACGTAGTTCAGTGTAAAAATGTTTCTGTATCATGAAGATGTATCAATAAAAAATGTCAAAATTATATCGTCATTTAATCGTGTGTAAATTCGTTATGAATTCGGCCCCGTTAATGTGTTCCATTTGTGAGTTTATGAATCACGGTTGCATCAGTGTGGATTAATTCACCGTTTCATCGCATTACGAAACCGTTTAATGAATTTTGTCAAGATACAAGCACTAAGTGGCAATATCATGGATATTTATTGAGTGATGAAAATATTATGGTGAACCGGGGGCCATAATAATGTGTATACATTTCGTGCAGTTAAATACGCAGAGAGTGGCTTAATTTAATGAATCAGTATACATTGAGATGCATCACAATTCGAGAATGATATCGATTCGTTTTATTTTCATTTACTTTTATGCAAGCCGCACACAAATATGTACACATACAGGATATTATTACAGTATTGCTTTTAAAATGACACAAATAGGTCGAATCTAATAAATGCAATTTGTATGTTCGACTCGCATGTTTCAGTGTGTGTGTGTGATCGTGGTGAAAATGTGTACGAACGGGAGAAAAGGAAAGAGAGCAAAAGTCGAGTTTACTTTCGTTTGAATGCATAACACGCTGTATACATTCTTCGCTCAACATATTGTGCAAATAGAGGAAAATAACAAATAAACACCAGAATATAAGCATTCAACATACTGACCCACTTAAAATCTGTTTGTTGTGTTCTGTTGTCATTGCTACTGTGTCGAATGGCAATAGTTGCATGGACATTGGACATGTACATCTCTTGTTGGCGTATTTTTTTTTTTCAAACAATTCTCCGTTCGGAAGTGGCCAGGACTCTATGTGCATAAAAAATGTCAATACAAAGTCACAGTCCATTCAACTACAGAAATTCATGCAAATTCTTATTTACTTATGTCAAGGCTCTTTTCAGCTCATATGAGGAGTTTTTTTGCGGCAATGTGTGCATTCGCGTACAATTGAAATTTGAAACGATAATAAAGTGGTGTTATAAATCAATCGTCATCGATAGACGTGTAATATTGGGAAATGATTCCAATTAATTTTTTTACATGGATTTAATTCCATACCGCGGCAACTTAACTCCAACAAGTCAAATGCAACCAATCACACTTCGTTCCTTCACTCTCTTTCTCTTGCAAACCGGTAGAGAACACTTTACGAAAATAAAAAAAAGCAAATCCACACAAAAATGTGCGATATGAAAATGCAATCCCGTGTGCAAAAGAAATGACAATGAATTTTTTTAACTGTAGCCGTTTAACCAGTTGACTATAGTCGTCTATTTATCTGATTTTAAACAGACGTCTAATTTAGGACGTTAGATGCCAAAAGTTGAGTTATATTTCTCTGTACTGAAATCGACTACGTTCCAAACAGGCTAGTCCCCAGTAGTAAGCCCAAAAATTTTGCACACGGGATGCTGTAATGTTTGTTAAAATGCGTACCTTCGGGTGGAGTATAAACGACAAGTGGGTTCGAAATTGTTGAATTAAATCCCGTTTGAAATATTTTGATGTTGTTATTTTCTCTGGCACTCATGACTCTTTTTCGTTATTTTTCTTTTACATTTTTTTTCACGCTTTTGTCAGTAATTTTAAATACCATTTTTGGCAACGGTGTCTCGTTTATATGTTGTTGTTTTTTTCATCAACAATTTTTCATGCAAAATAAAATGGCAGCAAAGAGAGAAAAAGCGAATAATTTATGATTTAATTGGTTTGTGACAACTTTGACGGCATCATACTCGTAATAAAAACTGATTTCAGTGCATTTTTTCTCTATCTTTCTCTCTCGATATGATGCGATGCATGTTTTAATTTGTTTGCTTTATTTGCATTTACATGCTATTCGGTAATTTATGAAAGGCATTTTTTGTTTTCATTTAGCGCATTTTATAGTTTCATCGACCACCACCAACATAAATATGCACAGTCAATTGATCATAGTTGTTAGTGAATGAATATTTAAAATTAAAATAAAAAACAACACATTTTCCACCATTTAACTACTGAAACCACAATATTTCCATAAAATAATTATTGCTTTTAGAGCTTTGATGTGTAAAATGGCTTTTTTTTCAAAAGTCACCATAAAATCAATTGGAATCTCTCTTTATGCTTGTACTTTTCGGATTGATAACACAAATCATCCCAAATGAAGACAAGTGCATTCGATCAATTATCAATCACGAAATGTTTGTGCAAAATGGGCAGCTCAATTGGATGTTTTATGATGTCATTCATATGTTATTATTTTGTACACCATCACCATATGCTTCGTGTATCGCTTACATCGAATTCGCCTTAAGGTGTAATCATATGCACGCAATCATTTATTTGCTTTAGCCGAACACGCATTTCAGTGTCTACTGTCTAGAAATGCATACATATCATGCACATAAACAGGTTTCATTTGTTGTTTCATCTCTACCGGTTGCGCGCACTCGTTTTCTTTTTTGGATGGTTCTTTCATTCACCGTTGCCAAATGCATGTTCCAACAATGTACATACTATTTTTCATCGCTGCTTATGTTATGATTTAGCATTCAATTAATATTCATATGATATGTGCGATTTTCGTCAGCTGGTTATTGTTTGGTTTTTATTCCGTGTTGCACATTTTTACGTAGGCCATATTGAATGACCGCTAAAACGATATAATTTTAACAATAATCATTTATAATTCACAAAGACAACAACGCTTTATATATGATTAAACGAACGCATAAGCCATCAATCATCAATTTTGTGTGTGTGCAATTTCGTAATTAAGATATACTAAATTTACGTTCAACACTCATTGATGTCACCAAGTATTGCAATCATATTATCTGCGGTTATACAATTTTCACATTGACATTAAACAATTTAACCGATTTCAATGTCAAATAAAAGCCCAAATAAAATTAATTCATTCAATTTTCATTTTTCAAGTTGTTTAAATAACAATTATGTAGTCGTTGATTTTTACAGAAGATACAAATGTTTCAATAAAGTTGATTATCGTATTGTACGCCTGTTCGTCAGACGATTTATTAAATTCTACTTAATACAAAAGGAAAACAATGTCAAATACCATTCCATTGCTTGTCTATATGTGGATTATCTCTTATTAGATGAAGTGAATTGCTGTTGAGAAGGTGAGAATGCATTTTTCTTCTTTTGACAAGATCACATCCAACGCTCATATTTATCGGATTATCGCATTTATCATTATAATGACGATTCTTCGTTTCGAAAGGTTGATCGCTTTCGTCCAAAATATTGGAATTTATCATATCTTCAACACAAATTCCATTTTGTTTACTATTACGTCGTATTTACTCCTATTCCAGAATATAGAACCGAAACGTTTTTCAGTTCATGACACTTTCAACACATTCCAATGGCAATGACCATGAAATCGAAGCACCCAAAATTCTGTAAGACCAATTATGCTTATAAATGGTAAGCATTACGATGAAAATGTAAGATAAAACGAACAACAGCACAAAGAAGAAACGAGGAAAAAATGTACTCTTCCCACAAAATCGATGCAAGTGCACTATGTTGATTATATCGCTGTATTTGATTGAAATTAATGAAAAGCTAAACAAATTAACACAACGTGGACCGACGAGTAATGGACGGACAAGAATGTAGAATCAAGTATTGGAGGTTATTCAATGCACTCGTAATGAAACATTTTCAAGTTAAAACAGTTTTAGTTACGCCTGTGCCTGAATCATTTCACCGGTTTTCGTACAGTGTTCAGTTGATTACGTTCACATTCTGCATTGCATCGTTTTACCTCGAAATATCATTGACATGTGATTAATTTATCAGCTTGTGAATGTATTTAGTTTAATCACTACGCACCTTCATTCATACTATTTTGCATATGGAGTATTATATACTAGCATTTTGACACTCTGCACTGCTATGCACCACTCTGCATCAAAAGGGTACGTAATTAAATACGAATGCCATTGAATGCAATGACATTAATTAAATCGATAAAAATGCTTTTATTCACTTTGCACGATGACAACCCAACAGGATAAAGATGTTGAAATGACGGTTTGATTCATGTCAACACTTCTTCGGAATACTGTCAAATGTGACACAGTCAACATGAATCAAAACCAGATAAACATTCCTAATGTTTTTAATTGTTTTTCAAAATTTACGTTAAAATCGAATCTAAATTGCAAAACAGCACAGCCAATTATATGTATAAAGTAAACAGTGTACAACGTACATATCAAAATATCAGG